CTGACAATCTATGCTTTCTATATAAGAAAGAGCGAGGTTAAATTTCCCTTTCGACAACATTTGGAGTTCCTAGGGAAGACAGGGTGCGAGCTTCCTAGTGAGGTATACCGTTAGATGTCTCGGATTACAGGCCGGGCGAGAACATCTTGTAAAACTGTCAAGAAGTGTGTGGCTCTTGCCACCTTTGGGACTCTAAGGGATCAGCATATGGGCTTCTTAGAAGAAAGGACTCTCAGCCTCTGGTTTGAGGCTGGGATAGAGACAATGTAGTGTTTTAGCCGTTAGGTCTGAGTTCTAGGCTTGTTAAACTCAGACTGTAGATGTTGTTGTTATTAAAGATTTAACGTCCAATACTGTAGATATCATAATAACTCCTAATGTACTATTATAGCTGTTGTAGTTTAATGTATTTGATATATAAACAAAGTTATAAAAACACAGTGTCCCAGAGTTAATTGATCATATACACAACGTGGAAATCAGAGTAAATTCATCTATTTAATAACACCGTAGTGTCACACTTGATCGACATTGTGTCTTGCCCAAAAAAGCTAGATCAAGCCTATTTTGTGGCTTCCTCTGGCAAGTTTCTTAGGAAACACTTGTCTATGATATCACCCTTGGTGGAAGTTGACGTAAAACTCCAAGAACAAACGAACGATTACACCTGATGACTGTCCTATAGCCATGTTTGTCCATTTCTGGTGATTTCAATGGGTAGGTTCACAAGATGATCCGGTATGATGGCAATAATAACACTACAGTTGTAGTTCGTATGTCTATGATTCATTCAATGATTGTTCTTGTTGATGGCAAAAGTTTGTTGCACCCCAATTGATCTATCATTTCAGGCTTAGACCTCAGCCAACCCTCGTATGAGCAATGGGGTTGTCTCTATCACCATCTGCATATCCCAGCTGATTTGAAAGAATAAAATCCTCAAGATTCTTGCACGACTCTGAATTCCCACAGGGTTACCGCATATAATTCCGCGATATCCGCTGCACAGATGCATTGCCTCAACCTAGTATCACAGGCATTAAAATAGGTTAAAGATACATTCCAACGAGAGTATTTATTTGGTAGTTATTTCCAATAAATGTACAAAATAAAATGTGAAAGTATCCCCAAAAACCACTCTGTATCCTCGAGTGCCGTAAGGGGGGTTTCTTATGTGTTGATCTAATGGTTAATGGTTGTGAGAACATTGAGAGTATTAAGTGTCCAGTATATAGGGCTCTGTGATTAAATAGCAGAAAATCCAGGAATTTCCTTAGGTATAATTGAATAATAGATTCTCCTTAAATCAAGTCCCGGGCTGATAAAAGTACATTCTTCGGATAGTTTTCAACAGATTAAAATATATTTAGATGGATTTGAATTAAACATTTGATTGATAAATTAGTTTAAATGATTATGTTTTTAGTACATATCTACCATCAAATCACAAGGTGTGTACGCGATAAGGCACTATGTCATGAATTCCACTCACATCCTGATCCAATTATCTAACAACATCTTTTGCCATCTGATAGTCGAGTTTGCTCAAAATTTGTGTCTGGTTTAATTAGAGAATAGTATTTTATTTACTTTATTGAAGATCACAACCTTTGTTCACGGTAATTATTGATTATAACCTTCTTTAATCTATTATTGCAGATGTAAATAATTTATACTGTTATTATGACTTATCAATCTTTATATATTCCACCTTAGCACTGTTTTCGGTGAACTCCTCGATTAGCGCATAAAGAAAAAAATCAGAGTTATCTTTCCGCTTATTTGATAATCTCGCTTACGGGGAGGTGGGGTAGTGGTATTCATCTTAAAGGGAGAGTTTTAGACATTTTTGACTTTTGATACTTCTAAGTTGTTCAAATGAAGTTCCCCAGTCCCATATGTTAGATGGGTATACTTCACCTGTGTATTTACTGTATAGTAAATTATCTTTTTTAATTATCACTATTTGTAATACTATAGGGATTATTTTAGTTCTATGAAAGGTGCCCTGTTTAATATATTGACGTGGTTAAACCAAATGGGTGACAGCGAGAAATAGACTAAGTAGGTATTTTGCAAGATTCAAGTTTCTTAGACTAACTCAGAGACATTTTCTGCCACCATCAATTGCCGAGAGTAGTGTACTATCGTCCAGTCATCCAGTAGACGTGGTACAAGGGTTAATCAGCGAACTGGATGTATGAGATGTGTTGTTGACGTTTGGGAAAGTAGGACGAGGGGAAATGTGTAGGGAGTGAAGTGCTGTAAAGGGATAGTTAGATGTATTATGAATGGTTAGAGTGGCTGTGGTGTTACGGTGAAATACTATGCCGCCACCGTAACACCACAGCTTTATGATTTGTTAGACAGGAGTGATGTAATGGGTGTCAACAACTGGGTATGCTGGTACCGTCGCAACGTAGCCGTAAAATATATATTGTGGGGGGAAGGGCGGAAACGGAAAAATATACAATGTTGACAGTATGTGCCAGGCATGAGGCTGCGCAGACCGAGCGGCAGCTCGATAGGGAGTGTGTGGGAGGGTCACCCTCATAAAAAAATTTTTTTTTAAATTTCAGTTTTCTGTAAGCAGTGAAAACACTATTTTGGCATTGTTTGCGGGGTTAAACCTAAAAATCACATTAATACACCTATTGCACGATATTGTGAAACTAGCTGACGAAGACAGCTCGGGCGGCGATTGTTCGACTCGGGGCTGCTCTGTCAGTATCTAACAAACGCATTTAGTTGGCGTACAACTTTTAAAAACCGAATGTCAGTATGGTATTTCTCACATAATTGGTTATCGCAAAAACAGAGTAAACTGAAAGCGAGTAATCTCGACTCAAACCTATAGTCTATAGCCTACTTACAGTACTACACTCGTCACTAGGCTTCCTATATTATTGTTTGTGGACGGTTTACTACTCAGTGATAAGCCTGCGCCGCAAAAAGAGGTCTCGCCTTTTATTATTAGTATAATGACTTCCTCATGTGCGGCAGGTTAGTTTGCTTCTAAAAACACTGTTTTCCGTTCCAAAAAATACAAAAGTAATTTTCTACCAGATGACCATGGTTCTTTTCACCGAGACTAGATAATTTCTCTCGGTGTAAGGATATAGCTATGGATAAGTTCATACAAGGTCAATAAATCCGCGGTCACTTCGGGTCACACTGTTGAGAAAATAAACCGATGGGTTTGTTTAGTAGCAAATCGAGCGTGAATCAACTGAGTTTGTACTGAAAAATTTTTGAGTGATATGTATGAACTGTCTTCACACATTCGGTTTATAATTAGCGATATACAGGTACAGTGGCAAGTGTTGTACTTCACAGACTGTTTACCTCCGAACTACCTCCGCACGAAATCCCCGATTTGGGTACTTGTTAAAAGAAAAAGAAATAGTACCTGTGCGCATGCCAGTAAAAAAAACCCTAAGAGTTCGCGCATAAAAATGCCCGAACGTACCAGCGCCAGGCCATCCAGTCCTAGCCGTGATTCAAGCTGAGATAACACCAAATTACCACTATTGCGGAATCGGTCTATTCTTTCTTGGTGCCTAGACAGACAACAGAATCGTCGGTTTGTATTGTTCAGGACCTTCTGGACACTCAGGCTTTTCCGAAAAAACTTTCATGACCACACGCAAATATTAAGGCAAGCCACTCGAATTAACCAATGCTACAGTTAGCTATAATAGACTGTTGTCGAGAACGATGTAAGGAATAAAGTAACCTTATCTAGAACACCTGATGCCACTTCCCATATGAATGTAAACTGACTTTCCTGTATATTAGAGTAACTTTGATGTGCAGTTGCTTATCCGCGAAAGGCATTTATTCGATTTCATACAATCGTTTTAACAGCGGGAGGGAGGGTACTCCGGTAATTTAGTTTAATTTTGTTTTATTTTCACAACAAGCTCCCAATCTAGACATATTACTTTGTCTAACTATCAACTACTAGATGGACAGTCTGTTGTTCAACGATCAAACATTTATACAGAACTAACAAACTAAGGACAAGGTCAATGAGTCTTATGTTAATAAACAACACTAGAAACGACTTCATATTCGCAACAGCATATCACTGTTGTTTTTTTTAAGTTTGGTGAGAATGATTGGGGTCTTGAGAGGACGAGCCCTATCGATTTTTAGCGACCTTGCGTTCTGGGGTTATACACACCCCTTTTCCGAAAACCTTGTTAAGGCCATAGAGGATACAGTTTCGGTGTGAAGCATCTTGAAGTGTCCACGCCCCTATGGCATCAATCAAATTCAATTGAACAAATTTGAATGAGTACTACCCTAGATAAAACAAAACTCACGCAACATAACAAAAGTTACATTAGTACGGTGTCAACACATCCTGAACTTTGCCTAATATAAGGGGTTCACAAACTTCAATATGTTATACGATCAGAAATTATATGTACGTGTATTGTTATCGAATAATTTCAACTTTGATATATTTTCTCCACACATTTTGTGACTTTATGATCACTTATACGGTTGGGTTGAATCAATAATTCAAGTGATGTTGACGGTTTATTATCAATAATCACCCATATGGAACTCATAGGTTATTGCTAAATGATAAGGACAGCTCAATATTTCGTCATGGGTCACGAGATGTAAACAGGACTAGCGCTAATCCCAACCCTGACCCTGACCCTAGCCCCAATGCTAAACCTAGCCCTAACCTACAATCTCGCCAACAATTACGTGCCCTAACCTTATTACATCTCAACGACCTTGCCAAATATTGAACTGGCCTTAACAAATAGATTTAGCCGTCATTTTAGCCCATATTAATAAGATCTGGTCGATTCTGTTGAAAATTGCAGGTGACACCTGCCATCGAACTTAACTTTAGACAGCATAATTTTATGCAGCAAAATGAGATATTGACAGGAATTTGATCGATTTGTATCAATCCGTAACTGTGCCTTGGTACTTACTTTGACAACTTTATTATTTCATTAAATAACGATATGAAACGGGCAGGCTTTACCAAACGGATTTTGGTGCTCATTCTGCTATACGTCTTTGTGTTTTTCTACAAGCTGTTTCCTGTTTTCTGGAACAATTCGTCACGTGTGAATAAACGCAGCATTATCCATAATGATCACATACCAAATAATCTGGTAGAATCGTACTATCGGACTAACTATGGATCGTGTCAACATTCCGTAATAAAAGAAAACAACATCAATTGTAGAGGACTTATTGAGAATACAACCATATCCAAACTTATTCCCATCCATAAAGCAAGGATGTGTAAACTAAATAAAATTACAAAAAATTGTAAATTATTTCGTCAAATTAATGGATACGAAGATAAAGTTATCACTAAACTGGAAGAAGATTTCCCAATAGCTTTTGGAATTCGTCTACATAAATCTGCAGAACCAATAGAACAGATTTTAAGAATTATTTATCGCCCACACAATTTTTATTGTATCCATGTCGATAACGGCAGTGATATCCGCGTATTTAATTCTTTAAAATCAGTCGCCCGATGTTTTGACAATGTGATCATTTTGTCTCAAATACGAACAATATACTCATCTATAAGACTTGTAGAAGCTGATTTATTGTGTATGAAAGAAGCGATGAAATCAACAATTCAATGGAAATATTTTCTTAACATGGCAGGTCAAGAATTACCACTTAAAACTAATCTGGAAATAGTTCAAATTTGCCAAATCCTACAAGGAAGAAATGATATTGAATCTGAACCAGCAAACGATGTTCTCATGAACCGGATGATGTATGAATATAATTTTACGAAATATCGCTTGAAAAAAACTGATATCCGCAAAAAGCCATTCGCACCAAGAAGTTTCTTCAGAAAAGGGAGCGCTTATGGAACATTTTCTAGAGAATTTGTTGGATTTGTTTTATCTAGCGACATAGCAAAAGATTTGATGGAGTTTTTAAAAAACGTTTGGGCCCCTGAAGAGACATTCTTCAATACCCTTAACTCCGTCGAGGGTGCACCAGGTGGTTACAATATTAGTGTTAAGCATGGGACTTTCGATTTCATATCCCGAGAGGAAATCTGGAAATGGGATCCCGTTGTATGTCATGGTACATTTTACAAAGATGTTTGTATATTTAATAATCGAGATCTACCGTGGCTGGTGAAACAACCTGAAATCATCGCCAATAAGATGGAGGGAGGTTATGATCAAGTGGTTATAGATTGTATAGAAGAATATTTATACAATAAATCGTTACAAGCTGATATATTCGCATTAAATAAAACACATTACAAACAATACCCACACACCAAAGACCTATATAAGACTAACTGATAAGTCTGAAAGAAACACCTGGGTATTATATTATCGAATCAAGGACACATTTTTTTAAGATGTGTATACATACACCTGTAAGTATAATTCAAAACTATAAAATAAATAAACTGTTTAAAATTTGACAATGAATTAACTTATTATGTTCTAAGATTTGACAATATAATAAACAAATTTTAAAAAACTGGAATAAATGGTTTTAAAAATGTTGCATGCAGATATTCATATTAACTCAATGAAATCTACTAATTTTTAGAAATAAATAAACAAATAAATAGAAAAATCTATTTGTTTGAAAGGTTTTGAAATAATGCCCCATAAGCGATCTACATGAATATAATAAATTATCAATTTATTTGATTAGTATTTCAATAATCAATATGGAATTAGAATATTCGAATATTAACATCAACATTCGATGAGACCACTAGTGTACATATTTTAGTGTAGTCAGTAATAACAAACTTAGCATCAGCTGCTGTTGAAAACGTAATAGTTGATAATTCCGGTGTTTCTATTTACTGTTCTGTAGAAAGTATCCCCATAGCAAATATATCTTGGTGCAGATCGCAACAGGAGGGGTGGGGGGTCTATGCTAGTAGTGAATACACCATACCTAACACTACCTGTCAACAAACAGATGATTATACCTGTACAGCTAGTAATAATATTGTCAACCTGTATCTAAAACTATTCCACTCCATGTAAGATGTCAGTATATAAATACCATAGACAATCGATTTCAATGACCAATACTTGTGGGAAACGTTTCAGCACTTATTTCCCCTGTAGACATCCTCTGGTATACCAGAGTATTGTCCAGGAATCATTCACGTACACTACAATTTCCTTATAAACCCCACAGGTGCCTGACAAATGAAACCTGAACTTATTCTGTACCCGAATCGGGATTCAACGCCTTGCGAAACAGTGCATTTTAAAGGTTATAGGCCTATCTGATGAACTGTGTGTTTGCTCAATAATAGCGTTTGTCGAACAATCTTATATTTATTTTCACTTGTAAATTGCTGTAATATTTCAGGCAGCCCGGCTGTTATGGGGACGCTGTGTGTGTACCACTTGGACAGACCAGTATAATATTAATCTATGTTTTAGCTTATCCACTTCCCGTATTCCCTTGGTATTATCACCAACAAGATGGCAGTAAACAACCAGGTACCATAGTTACAGGTTATAGAAGTAAACAAACAGGCGATGGTCTGTCATCATGCAACATTGGCAAAACAAGGTTTGAATATGATGATGTTACTAATTGTCTGGATAGCATCTCCAAAATTAGTAATTTCTAAAGAAGACGCAGCAAATGACGCTGGTATCGCCATTGGATTTGGTATTGGTCTGCTTATTTCTGGTATGTTATGAAGCGACTGGATACCACCAACGGTACAATGTGTAAGTGTACCATGGAATGCAAAGTAGGTCGCAACTAAAGCAGCCGTTGATAGTTTGTAGATAGGTAACACATAACACAAACGTTCGTGAAGTGAGGCAGTGTCATAAATATTATTTACTTATTAAATTGCCTGCAAGTAATCAGAAAGTGTCAGTTACACCGACTGGTGATTCAAGGGGAGATAACACCAAATTACCGTCGTTGTTCAGGTCATTCTGGACACTAAAGGCATTTCCGAAAAAACTTTCATAACAATACGCAAACATTAAGGTAAGCCACTCTAACAAACCAATGCTACAGTTAGTTATAGAGACTGTTGTCGAGAACGATGTAAGGTATACGTTTCTAGAACACCTGATGCTACTTCCCATGTAAAAATATATTGGCATTCCTGTATATTGGAGTAACCTTGATGTGTAATAGTTTATCCGCGAAAGGTATTTATTCAATTTCATACAATCGTTTAATTTTGTTTTATTTTCAAGAAATCGTCGCAGACGGGTTTCCGACACAACAAGCTCCCAATCTAGACATATTATCACCGAATCTACTTTGTCTAACTATCAACTACTAGATGGACAGTCTGTTGTTCAACGATCAAACATTTATACAGAACTCACAAACTAAAGACAAGGTCAATGAGTCTTATGTTAATAAACAACACACAAAATTACGAAGGCGCCACATGGCTAGAACAGACTTCATATTCGCAATAGCATATCACTGTTAATTTTAAGACCCAATTGAAGTCCCACCTTACCGACAAACGTTTGAACATTTACAGCTTTCTGATTCTCTGCATGTAATTATGTTCATCTTATTGTATATTGCATATTATCTATTACATATATAATATTTGGACAGTGGGTGTTTTTTCGTTTCTTTTAGTTAGAACGTTGTATTACATGTTAGCGTTCGCGCGCTGTATCATAAAGTCTGTCATTGAGTCGACTGGCGTGGTTTCGAATCCCCGGTTGTACGTTGTACGTGGGTTTTCTGCTGGTCCGCTGGTTTCCTACCACTGCTAAAGACCCCTACGCGCAAGCGAATTATTGAAATAAAATTAAACCATATGTTAGTCCCAAAATGACCTAGTTTGTGTCGAGTGGACCTTAATCCCCATGTCTCTCTCCCTCACATTTATTGTATTTTAGTTTGTTTATTTTATATTATGTTTATATTTCCATGAAGGCACAACTGTAAAATGCAATCGGAGACTTTTTAATTATAGTTTCAATAATAGTGTGGGTTAATACGTCGTCGCCTCTTTCCGTCCGTTTGCCATCCAGTCAACAGTTATCTTGTTAACGGATTTTTTTCACATTTGGTGAGAATGATTGGGGTTTTGAGAGGAAGAACCCTATCCATTTTAGCGAACTTGGGTTTTGAACTTATACGCACACGTTTTCCGAAAACCTTTCTTAACGCGATAGAGAATATAGTGTGAGGCATCTGAAAGTTTGATATCAATCAAATTCATTTTAATAAATTGGAATGAGCACTACCCTAGATAACAAAAATCACGCAACATAACAAAAATTACACTAGTAAGGTGTCAATTCAAAAATCCTGAACTTTGACTATGGGGTTCTGCAACTTCAAAGATAACTCGAAGTATACGATTCGAAATTATATTTATTGTTATCGAATAATTTCAATTTCGGCATATTTTCTCCACTCATTTTGTGATCACTTATACGGTTGATCTGCAGAAAATTTAACAACTGCAGTCTCCGTATTCGGTCACACCTGTCATCGAGCTTAACTTTACACGTATCGACAGGAATTTGGTGGATTTATATACGTCCGTAACTGTGCATTGTATACTTATTTTAACAACTTTATTATTTCATCAAATAACATGAAACAGGCAGGATTTACCAAACGGATTTTGGTGCTCATTCTGCTATACGTCTTTGTGTTTTTCTACAAGCTGTTTCCTGTTTTATGGGGTCACGTGTGAATAAACGCAGCATTATCCATAATGATCATATACCAAATAATCTGGTAGAATCGTACTATCGGACTAACTATGGATCGTGTCAACATTCCGTAAAAAAGGAAACAACATTAATTGTAGAGGACTTATTGAGAATACAACCATATCCAAACTTATTCCCACCCATAAAGAAAGGATGTGTAAATTAAATAAAATTACAAAAAATTGTAAATTATTTCGTCAAATTAATGGATACGAAGATAAAGTTATCACTAAACTGGAAGAAGATTTCCCAATAGCTTTTGGAATTCGTCTATATAAATCTGCAGAACCAATAGAACAGATTTTAAGAATTTAAGGTTCAGCAGTAGTTCACGATTCTTTTATCCAAATCACCAATCTATGGTAAAATTAAAGAACGATTATTACCAGAGCCACTACAAATCCTGTCAACATTCTGTGGTCATCGAAAACAACATTAGTTGTATAAAAATAATTAGCAATTTGACCAGTGCATCACCTATGGCCACCAATAAAAAACGATTGTGTAACTTAACCAAACGGACGTAAAACACAACTAACAAGTAGTAGTTTTCGCTACTCATTTGTCTGTTTAAGTTATACTTAACCAAAACTTCTGAAAATTGTCAGTTGTTTCGTCAAATTAACGGGTACGAAGATAAAGTTGTTACTAAACTGGAAGAATATTTTCTGCTAGCTTTTGGTATTCGTCTGCATAAATCTCCAGTACAAATGGAGCAGATTTTAAGAATTATTTATCGTCCACATAATTTTTATTGTATCCATGTCGATAACGGCAGTGATATCCGTGTATTTAATTCTTTAAAATCAGTCGCCCGATGTTTTGACAATGTGATCGTTTTGTCTCAAATACGAACAGTATACTCATCTATAAGACTTGTAGAAGCTGATTTATTGTGTATGAAAGAAGCTATGAAATCAACAATTCAGTGGAAATATTTTCTTAACATGGCAAGTCAAGAATTACCACTTAAAACTAATCTGGAAATAGTTCAAATTTGCCAAATCCTACAAGGAAGAAATGATATTGAATCTGAACCAGCAAACGATGTTCTCGTGAACCTGATGATGTATGAATATAATTTTACGAAATATCGCTTGGAAAAAACTAATATCCGCAAAAAGCCATTCGCACCAAGAAGTTTCTTCAGAAAAGGGAGCGCTTATGGAACATTTTCTAGAGAATTTGTTGGATTTGTGTTATCTAGCGACATAGCAAAAGATTTGATGGAGTTTTTAAAAAACGTTTGGGCACCAGGTGGTTACAATATTAGTGTTAAGCATGGGACTTTCGATTTCATATCCCGAGAGGAAATCTGGAAATGGGATCCCGTTGTATGTCATGGTAAATTTTACAAAGATGTTTGTATATTTAATAATCGAGATCTACCGTGGCTGGTTAAACAACCTGAAATCATCGCCAATAAGATGGAGGGAGATTATGATCAAGTCGTTATAGATTGTATAGAAGAATATTTATATAATAAATCGTTACAAGCTGATATATTCGCATTAAATAAAACACATTACAAACAATACCCACACACCAAAGACCTATATAAGACTAATTGATAAGTCTGAAAGAAACAACTGGGTATTATATTATCGAATCAACGACACATTTTTAAGATGTGTATACATACATCTGTATGGTTCAAACTAAGTATAATTGACAATGGATTAAATATGTTTAAGATTTGACAATAAATAAACAAAATTTAAAAACTGGAATAAATGGTTTTAAAAATGTCCACACAAAGGACATATTCTAAATACTGATATATACTGAGACAATGAAAACACCCCACTTTTATAAATGGATGATTGTAGAGATCAGTACTCTCAAACAATTCATCTGGACAAATCACGATTTTATGCAATCTGATTAAAATACAGATCTGTATTTCGTTTCGTTTTTTTTTATACTTTCGAAGATCTGATAAGTTGTACTCGAAGGTCGTGTCAGGGGTCGTACGAGCGGCTTTTGACCCTATGACGTGACACATTCATTAATCATCGTTGGAGTTTCTAGTGATTTACGCACAATTCCGTGCATGACACGTCAAGAAGTCGACGTAACGGACTGTTTCGTTGGCTTATCCCTCACTTCAACCAAAACACCGGTAATATAACAACTCTACCAAATCCTAGTGTAGTAAAGACAAGAAAAACGAAATTTGAACTATAAAAAAACGAAACGAAATAGGATCAGATTGGATTTAATGTTACAGGCGTGTGATATAAAATGTCGCTTTTAAAGATACGTTCCCGTGTACAAACTGGGTGATATGATGATGTATTTGGACGAAAACTATATTCAAACTAATAAATCTATCAAAATTTTGCTTCAAATCGTTCTCAAAACACTGTTTACGCGAGGGAATACCTCTGCTATAAAAAATATATTAAAAGAGGTCATGTTTGTGTCTCGTGATTTATATACCAAAATTGCCATACTTTTATTGGAAATAACTATCTGATAAACACTTTTCTGGGAAAGTATCTTTAAAAAGTCAGTAAAACTACTATACTTCTATGGAAGGGTTGACATCTGAACTCCAAGAAGAACGCGTCATTGCTTTAATTCACGAGGGCACGGGGACCAGAGCCGTCGCCTAACGGTTTGAATAAAATAAAACCAAGTACGAACAATCCAAACCATAAGACAGAATTCGAAATCCTAAAAAACGTTATAGGCAAAATAGTGTATTCAAGCAAAATAGTGTAATCAGCAAATGGACTGCTCCTCGTGTACAAATTACACGACAAACAGTGGTAACAGGTGTCCGGAAGAGTAAGCTTACCCTGCCTGGCGCCACACCCGCCATAGCTGCATCCAAACTATTAGGCGAAATGTCGGTAAAATAGCGTGATTGGCCAATGAACTATCGGTATGCAAAATGCACGCGATGAACTGTGTTAACGATGTAGTAGATATTATCAGGGAGATAGTAATAGTATACGTGTCAATTAAATATATCTAGAATAATAGCCGAGAGAGACACGTTATATTTACCAATCAAATCAATATGACGGCCATAAAACTTTTTAAAGGTTTTAATAAGTTTAGTGCGCAAGTACCCCTGTAGTTGAAGCTTAGATGACAAATGCCTCGATCTACTTAAAAAATCAGAATAAAAGGAACAAGCTCTCGCGTAACGGATTAGCTGAGACACAAACACTCCATAAGCTGGTGATATTGGAATGTTACTACTAATAACTACATTACCATCCCATCCAGTAGACCGTGTCCAGCATCCCACATGCCCACATGCCGCTAGCCTCTCGTGCTACAGCTACTGTGCCGTGGCGGTGGGGGGGGGGGGTCACGTGGGTGTATCGGTGCTGATAATTGTTATGCGCTTTGTTGGACTCTGTGCCAGACAGCCAGCCTTGACACAACGCTGCCACTGACATTGCGTCTCGGTGAAGTTCCCCCAATATTGCCAGGTGAACCAAACCACCACGGGGTTTTTTTAAAAAAAGAGTTCCCCTAAAAGTAAATATCAGCGTGTATATGCAATGACCGGCTTAATGACCATGAGATCGTTTGTATTAATATTTATTGTGCCGATTTCAGGGTTCATTCCTACTATTACTAATAGGGTTCTACCTCGATGAAATCTCATAGTATTCCCGGCGTCTTTGAATACATCCTCGTATATCATAAAAGCGGAGGAGTTAACCCAGACATAAATGAAAAGGGGTTTAACGTTAAACTTTTCTGCACCAACCGCTCTAATTATTAATACCGGCATCATACGCAATGCAGCGTACTATAAACGCTAGGTTCTTCAATAACTAATAAGTCTGGAATGGTTCTTCAACCTTTTAATTACAGGAACTTATATCTTACAAATGACAATAATTCAATACATACAATGTACACCTACAGCACAGTGGATGACCGGCGTAGTTGCTACTAAGTCGGGTGACCTAATAATGACTTACCTATTAATGTACATCAGCCTTTTTATATTCTAACTACAAATTGATAAGCTTAAGTGTTGACATCAAAACATATACTGTACAGGATTATCACTAGAGACATTAACATAAATAAACAATAATGGATTAAATACTTAACTAATTAGCTTCTACTCTGATTGATATTAACCATGAGAAATTAAATACTATCTAACACTGACTGGTCATTATGCCTGGTCATATTTCTCTGAGAAAATTTTTCCTGAACAGTGATTTTTCTGCCTACTTTTAATCGATTTTAAACTGTATGCCAACGTGTACAGGAGACTTCGTTTTTGTGTGCCTCTAAACGAAGCCGCTTACAAGACCCAAGATGAAATCACTAAATACTTCAATAATTCGATAGAATGTTTATTTTCCTTACTAGTTTAAGGTTTGCTTGAAGTAAATTAGATATCGACCACTGTATCATGCCATATATGGAGATTAAGAGAGACATAACAAGGTATACTAATCTCCTATAAAGAACAAACATATTTATCCATATTTGTAAATCCAGATCTAACATCATATTTGGTAAATTCCTACATTATTTATTTAGCACGCAATTACGAAGATATAATTCATGTTATAGTCCGGTAATCATGTTGAATTACGAATAGAGATATAGGTATAAGTTTTAGGGTTATTCGAATATTGCACATAGTGTATTGAGACTGTTACGTTTACGTGGAATTCCAAGAGAGAGAATATAGTTTTTAATTACCATTTTTGATCATGATCGAGTTCTATAACTTATTATTATTCGTGGGTGTGAATAATAGGTCTTTGACAAGTTCTGTAACGTCGTTATGCACAGAGTTAAATATTTTCGCCCGCAACCGTGGATTAATGAGAAATCGATACTGGTCTATTTCATTAAAGGGAAATCCATTCTTCTAGCAATTTTTTATTGTCCGTCTGGTTCTTTATTAAAAATCATTACATTGGACCAGCCTCGATTTAATACAACTTGACAGTATATAGGTTTGATAACCGTTTTAGCGTGAGCAGGTTTAGTATTACGTTGGCGACATAATAACTTAAATATTAGGTAAGTATTTATTGTCTATATACAAAATATAACCAGAAGTGACTGTTACTCTTTTAAAATAAGTCATACGTCTTAGTGTATGTTGAAATATTATTTATTAATGTACAGGAGCGCCGGAACGGGGTGGGTATGGTGGAAATACCCCCCCCCCTTCCCCCAAATGCACGGGGTAATGTATCAATGGCAAATAAATATTTTTAGGAAATTAGAAGATGTCGATTGGGCTGGGTTTCTACAACGAAAGAATGTAGAAACGTGCACACAACTAGTTTATATTTTCGTTTGGAATATGTGGATAATTTTTGTACTTTGTAGTGTTCAATACAGAAAAATCAATCTGTACAGATTTATTGTGTAGAAATTCTTCCATGCAGTCAATAACGATTTGGTCATAAGCCGTGCTAACTTTATTCCCTATCACCTGTGGTTGTTTCGTAAGCCAAGGAAGAGCACCGCTATGGAATATACATACACCGCGTTGAAAAGTCCCCTGACATTTTATTTTATCCCACATCCAAATCACAGCTCGGGAGAGATATGTTTTCTTATAATGAGAAATAGTTACATTAGTCCCCCCTGGAGCTTCATGCATAAAATTTAAGGTACTGAGGAAAGTTTCTTCTGGAGCCTCTGTGTCAGAGAGATATTCCACTAGTTTAGTAGCGATTTCGCTGTATAACGCAAACTGAACAAAATCTCGACAGAGCACACCATAAGCACTACCCTTTCGGAACTCAATGGGGTATTGAAACGGTGGTTTTGTTACTGTTGTGTGATAAGGTCTACGATTTTTAAACACATGGTGAAACCGAATCCTTTCTTCCAACTGACTTGGCATGGCCTCCGATTCTATATCATTCCTCCCCTGAAATAACTGGCAAATTTGAACTATTTCCAGATTAGTTTTAAGTGGTAATTCTTGACCTGCCATGTTAAGAAAATATTTCCATTGAATTGTTGATTTCATCGCTTCTTTCATACACAATAAATCAGCTTCTACAAGTCTTATAGATGAGTATACTGTTCGTATTTGAGACAAAACGATCACATTGTCAAAACATCGGGCGACTGATTTTAAAGAATTAAATACGCGGATATCACTGCCGTTATCGACATGGATACAATAAAAATTATGTGGACGATAAATAATTCTTAAAATCTGCTCCATTTGTACTGGAGATTTATGCAGACGAATACCAAAAGCTAGCGGAAAATCTTCTTCCAGTTTAGTAACAACTTTATCTTCGTACCCGTTAATTTGACGAAACAACTGACAATTTTCAGAAATTTTGGTTAAGTTACACAATCGTTTTTTATTGGTGGCCATAGGTGATGCACTGGTCAAATTGCTAATTATTTTTATACAACTAATGTTGTTTTCGATGACCACAGAATGTTGACAGGATTTGTAGTGACTCTGGTAATAATCGTTCTTTAATTTTACCATAGATTGGTGATTTGGATAAAAGAATCGTGAACTACTGCTGAACCTTGCCGTATTCAAAACACCTTGGATATAGCCGGTCTGTGTTGTTAGGTATGTGACACATATCAGTTGAAGGCTAAGAAGAAGCAAAATACATCGCAATATAGCTAAAAGAAAAGAAATAATACGTTATTAAAATATATACTTCTTCTGACTTTTACAACATACATGCAGTTGATCTCTGTTTAATGAGCAGCATATTTCTGCCTTTATCAACCTAGGTTATGTTCATATTGTCTCCAAAATTTCAGGTAAAACAGTTAACATAAACCCAGATGTCAACGTTGGTGTTTAAAGGGGGGGGGGGGGTCCCATATGGGCTATATGATCTGCAATAATATTCCTGAATAAAGACAACATGGTATTTATTGGGATACTGTGTACACCCCCCCCCCCTTTGTAGATTGGGTGTTAGAAGGGGGTGATATCGTTAAATGAGTTTTATTTTGAATATGATTTAGACTGGGTGTTCCATTTCCAAATTCCGGCATGCGCCAAGAAGCCGTTTTAAGACTGGTCCACTGCTATTTGTCATCTTTGATACTGGTATTCTGTTTCTTGTTATCTTTGATACTGGTATTTTGTCCATCCGAACGACTAGGCACCCCCGTCCCTCCTAAAGTTAACGGAATGGAATAGAGTTTAACGTCTCCTAAACGTAACTATTCGGTTATTTTGCGGCTGATATGCGGTTATATTTTCTATGGTCATGAAATGAAATGAAATTAAATGGGGTTTAACGGCCTACTGTTCTGCTCCGACTGGGCTAATGAAGACCGTCCTATTGTCACATGAGCAATGTCGGGGAGCGGGGGACATTTTACTTGGACAGTGATGTGATCCGCCTATTTTACGTCGGATTCTACGTTAACGGTTCTTGTGCGTTCATGCTAACGGGTCCGCCTCAGTTTGTTTTTTATACGCCCACATTTACATGTGGACGTATTATGCCGTCGCCCCTGTCCGTCCGTCCGTTCACAATTTGCTTGTGGACACATTTTTATCCGATTTTGACGAAATTTAGGTCTAACTCCCAAAGATCTCGGTTTCATTTCGACATTGGCATGTATCGGACCATAACTTCGTGGATTATGGCCCCTGCTTGTACGAAAAATCACGTTTTTAGCTTGTAGACACTCTATAGAGGACTCATTTTTCATCCGATTTTCATGACACTTGAAATGCATGTTTATAACCCTACGATCCTGGTTCCTTTCGATATTCGTGCATATTGGATCCTAACTTATGGCCCCTGATTGTACGAAAAATCGCGTTTTTAGCTCGTGGTCCCTCTAGAGGTCACAATTATTATCCGATTTCAAAAACCGTTCGAATATATAACCGTTACGCAAATAGTGTAAACATCTGGTATATCAAAGTTGTGGATCCTCTAGAGGTAACAATTTTGATCCAATTTTGATGAAACTTAAAATGCATGTTTATAACCCCAAGATCTTGGTTCCTTTCGATATTTGCGCATTTCACACCATAACTTTCTGGATTATGGCCCCTGATTGTACGAAAAATTGCTTCTGTTTTAGCTTGTTCTCTATCCATCTCTTGCAAAATGTGGGCGTATCTTGCCATGCAACTGCTGGTTTTACCATCAGAACGACTAGGAATATCGCATTCAATATATTAAATTACAAACGTGTTACTAACATTCATTGTTTATTGTTGATGAAACTAAGTCCGTAATGACGACTTAACATTAAATACCCTGTGTACACAACTCTTTTCACTTCCTAAATCCATCTCTGAAAAAATCTGATCCAAAATAACAACGGTGTATTTCTTATGTATAGGACGAGTGATTCGGGTAATTCCTTTCTGGTTGAGAATGTACAGCTCAGCCTTTTTCTAAATTTGACTGCACTTAACAAACTTTCCAAACTATAGTAACGATACATGTACATGTATTAAGCTACGTATCATCTATGATAGGGAAGTATAAACTGTGCCTTACATAATCATACATTAAATACGGCTTACAGTATTGCTGTTTCAAAATACAATTCTCAATAATAAACACATTCTTACCCGTTCTCTGTAAAAGTGACATCGTTTTCAGAACAATATGGGTGGATCAAATTAGAAATGAATAGTACTTCGTACATTACATTGATTTCAGTAACATATACACATACATGGTATCCTAGCTTTATTTAATCAGTAATTTAAATAATGGGTAACACATGTTAGGACAAAATAGAAACCTTAATCAATAAAGGCACATTCAGTAGAATAATGTGAGTACAGACTTCTTCATAATATTGTAAAATAAAATATAATACTGTCTAAAGGGCATTCAAATTCAGAGTCCATTAATACAAATCGACAAAGTAGTGTATAATAACAATGCAAACGGAGAAACCTTAACTGTGGATGCCCATAACAATAACATGCTGAGAACTGCTATAATTATTACATTTAGATTAAATGATGCAATGTTTGAAGATGAAGCTTAACGTCCATTCGATACATACTAAGCTATTTCGGGACTAACAACTGGTACAATTGTATTTCAATAATTCGTTTGTGGGTAGGGATCTTATCGAAATCTCGCCACATGACTAAATTCCAGGCCTTATGATCTGAAGGGCACGCGTTAGAACACCCTCGATCCTGTGTTTGGTAGGGTTTTTTTTTTGGGGGGGGGGGGCAAAAAAAGGTAATGAAATGAGATGGGGTTTAACGTCCTACTGTTCTGCTCCGAAATGGGCTAATGAAGACGGGCATAAGCCATACAATGTGCTATGTGGGAAATTTTGCCCGGACAGCGACACTACGACCTACTCTTATATCGAATTCCAACTGGATGAACTTTCTCGGCCAATGCAGGGATCGAACACCCGACCTCCAGGCTAGCGAGCCAATGTCTTACCCACTTATCCACGACAAGAAAAAAAAAAGGTAATGTGATGTGGTATACATGTCTAATATCTTGGAAATGTGCAAACGCACTAGTGATGTCTGCAGTGTGTGTATGCTGTTCGGAATTGAGTGAGTTTGCAGTTTAGTGACACATAACCTAAAGAGTGTATTAAAAAAAACGGTTCAAGAGCCATCTTTTGGCCTTATTTAGATAAAACATGCTCGGGATATTGAGGACGCATTACATGCGGATACGCTGGATTGAATGATTTGAATGAAAATCATTGAAATATTTCCATGTCCCGGAGCATAACCTTCACAACCCAAATTCCTAAGACAGATTAAATACATTTTAGTCGTGTCGGATTATGTTTACAGTAAATGCTATAATAACTCAAAATCCTAAGACAAATTAAATACATTTTAATCGTGTCGGATTATGTTTACAGTAAGTTCTATAACAACTATCATTTGTAAAACATAAAGATTATTTCTTATAATTTTTTCATTCAGATTACTGATAATTTAACAGATTATTTATAAAATAGAATCAAACTTAATGTAATTAAATTAACCAATTAAGACTAATTAATTGATGTCCCTTTTGATCTATTACAGGGTGACACCGTTTGTTTGGGGATTGCCCGACTGCCTTTAATTACTTGAACAATGTCCGCAGACAACGTATTACCGCATAGAGGTGAAAAATCTACTAACATATTAACTGACTCGTTTAATTCAGTGGAAGGTATTAACAGCCTAACTTGTGAACCCGCGTTAAACATAAACCCACAAAACCGTACCCCTGTTGCTAACGATAATACACCGCAAAATAACGCGAGATTGTTCGAGGAAGACACTTATGCAGACGACAATACAGAGACAGTTGAGCAGGGGGCAGAAGATCAAACAGGCGATAGTGTTTATAGTGACACTAGCAGTTTAGAACATGTTCGTAATAATAGTTCTGACTTAACAGACGGAGACGACGACGACGAAGGAGAAGAAGAAGGGGATACTAGCTGTGAATCCGATGATCTATCAAACAACAGTGTCGAATGTAATAACACAACAACAGCAGTAATCGTCGAAAGCGGTTCGCGTGAATATGTAAATGGATTAGATGAAAGTGATTCTAACAGTGTTGCTTCTTTGGAACATAACCAAATAGACAAAAATAACATTTATGTACAAAGTGATCGGCATATTGTTAAGGAAGCTGGCGATGTTGCTTCTTTGGAGAGTAGACAAGGGGTTGAAGTAGAATTAAACGAATCAGAACCTGAAATTGATGTAGAAGACGCAAGCGAAGAAGATGAAGATAACTTTTGCATAGAACAAGTCGCCGAATGTCATGATAAAGACACACCAGATGATTTAGTACAAGCGGATACCCAAGAGAAAAATTCGGACGTTGTCAGTTTTGAGTCTGTTGAACGAGTCAGTGCATCTGATTATTCATTGGGTAGTGCTAGTTATAATTCACATCATACGGATTCGGGAGAGGATATTGGCAGCTATCTCACAGAAAGTCCTGGATTAATTCAGAGTAGAGCTAGCACAGCACATAAAGAAAAGAAGAGCGTTTCCTTTAACGAAACTGTTGGCTTTATTTCATTGGAAGATTCCACCAGTGAAGAACTGGGGGATTCTGAAGCTGAACAAGACACTACAGGTGAACGTCAAGATAATCTGAACACTGGTGTGCACGAGAAAGCTGAAGTAGAAATTGAAAACCCAGATAGTCCAACTAGTGATCCCATAATCGACAAAAGCTCGGATGAAGACGATAGTGTTATAGAATATCCTGAAAAGTTTGAAGCCGACCCATTTGAATCTGAAAGTTCTGATCTAGAAGGTGAAAACGTCTCATACCAAGAATCGCACGAAAGTCTGAAATCTTTAGACGAGAATAACAAGGAGGATAACAATACTGAACAATTATCTGATCAAGAATATTATGAAACAGAGAAAAATAATCCACCAAAGGAATACAATGTAGCTAGTACTGAAAAATCCCAGTTTCGAGATATCAATGATACCGATGACGACTACAGTATCGGTACTTTTGAAACGGAATCAGTAACAAGTTTATTAGATCGCATTGATGCAATTAGTTCTGGCCAAGATTGTGTAAGCCTTACCGAAACAACAATGGAAGAAGACCGAATTAACGTACACGGGATCGACAACCGGAAAACATACCCCTATTCACACGAAATAAAAACTGGGTGTCAAAATGTGTACGCTTTACAAAAAACATTATCACACATATTTCACAATTCCGCTACTCTTTTACAAGAATATAAAACTCAGTTAACAACGGAACAGCTAAAAGATTTTGCATTAAATTTAGGGGAGTTTCGTGAAAATTTTATGGCATTAGCAGAGCTATATACAAGTTGTGAAAAACTGTCCTTTTCTATGAACAAAGAATTAAAAGAAATACGCCGCGTTACTGACGATGTTTGTAATTTAATCAACCGTAAATTTCGAGATGAAGATTTGATAACTTGGATAGATCATGATGAAGATGAATATTTAGGTATGTATTAATATGAGAGTGAGAGAGAGAGAAACAGAGAGAGAGAGAGAGGGGGGAGGGGTAATGTCCACACGACGCTAATCAGGCAATAAAAAACAATGAACCCACACAAATAATATGAAGGCCATATTCCCGCATTCATAGTGGGGAGGGGACGCCTAAAAACTATTTTGCTATACTTTGAAATGCTTTAATTCTTGGTATTCAAATATGTAAGGAAGGGATATTTATACTTTTAATATATGGCCACCCTAAAGCGAGATTAGTTTATCTATCGCTCTAGGAAAAGATCTTTATTGTGATTTATTGTATTTAAAAATCACATTATAAATAAAATGCTCAACTATTACATACATATCGGTTACTAAATAGTATAACTACTTAGAAACGACCTCATGTTTTCTTATGTCAAATGTTTCAAGTTTCTACTTAGGGTTCAGATAGTTATGCACTTCCTTTATCAAAGCTTCAGATAACATTTCTAATAAATACAATCCTAACGCGTTTAGCTTAGTGGAAAAAATTTTTTAGAACGTCTATAGCAACAAGACACCATTTCTGAAGTACATTTCATATTGAACCTCTTGTTCAAAACAAATATCAGTGTAACTAGAGACACTGAATAATATAGGTCCTATAGAATATATTCTATTATAGTTATCATATGACAGTTGGAAAATACACGAACGCGACTCTCTAATAAGACTTCATTGATATCCAGATGTAAATGATGTTTTGTTGTACGTCTTAAATTGATCTGCACGGTACACAAATGGCTAATGTATTTATGTACAAAATTCCATACTCCTGGACGTTTACCTATGTATAATAGATGTGTGTATTTTGAGCTCTGTAGGGGAGGGACTAACAATAGATAGGTATATAATTAACACTATATACTTACATATTGTATAAATATCAAACATATATCTATTGAAATATACACCGTCCAATACACACATCAATCAAGACCTTCATTGTTGACGTTTCAATAATTGATTTAGCGATATAAATATTCATGAACGTGTATGTTTATAACACAAGTTTATTTAAAATGTAATAGTTAAAAAAGTCAAGTAATATTCTTTTTATAGTTTTATTTGATTTAGTTTAATGTAAATAAATCATTTTTTCAGGATTTATGTTCCTTATTCTTATGCACATAACTAACACCCTTATCACAACAAGGCTTAATAAACACATATAAACTATTATCTGGCCTAAATGTAAAACTAAATTCTTTTGATTTATATTCCGAATATTCCATTTGAGATATACCCTCCTACCGCTTTAGTAAAACTACTTAAATTATTTAATGGTTATTGTAGACAGGTAAATAGGTGCAAATCATACAACTATATTTATTTATCGGATTAAAGGTATTATTTTATTCGGCACTAAATATAGATAATATATGAAACGTGTTCGTACTTAAGTATCGCTATAATATTTAACTAACTCTTCTGCGTATATATTATTATATTATAAAGACAAACGTTAAATTAATAAATGGGGATTAATAATCATAAACCTCACAGAAGCAAACGCTAGACGGGTATTAACTATTCTTTTCGTTGCTATGGAAGTTACCTTTCTTATTATGAATTATCGATTTATTATCAACCCCTCAATACTGAACGATTTGCTGTCATTAGTTGATAAATGGGCAATAGATCGACTGTATTATTTGAATATCGATATTCGAGAGAATTGCGAATATAATATTTATTTACGCTTAAGTTGGTTGTATTAGATATAATACGATAATCGGATCAGACTAAACTATCAACAAACCCATTAGTTATAATCCCATAAGTCACATTTTTACTTAATACCAATAAAGTAGGGAGTTGACTTGTAATGTATAGGCTATAGCTGAAATAATTTGCCAGGTTTAACGGATAAGTCCTAAGTATTTTAATGAATACGACTGGTTATTATTTTGAGGAACAGTAGGACGCTAAACCCTAGTTCGTTTCATTTCATGTCTTTGGATGAAGTGCGGGGATAACCATATCTACGTACTTTCCGAAGTTACCGTAGTAAGTTTCCATTACAATTATTTGGACAATGAATGGGTTCTATGACCTCATTACGCGAATCGAGCGAATATTTCCGTACGATAGAGTATTTGAATTGGTAATTGCGCCATTTCTTCACATTTTGTCGTTTGGTTTGTATACTCGTAAAATCCGAGGCTTCGCTTTTTAAAGAGAGAGAGAGGGAGAGAGAGAGAGAACGTTTAACGCCCACTCGACACAAACTAGGTCATTTCGGGACTAACGCATGGTTCAATTTTATTTCAATAATTCGCTTGCGCGTAGGGGTTTTTAGCAGTGGGAGGAAACCGTATGACCCAGAGGAAACCCATGAGGTTGGACAGGTGACCCTACTCATTGTCATGTACAACCGAAGAATCTAAAACACGCCAATTGACTCAAAGAAAGACCTTATGATACAGCGCGCACTTGTTAACCATTCGGCCACCCAACCCCCGGTTTTTAAAGTAGCCCAGTCTCTAACTCAGTATCATCCAAATTCTTCGACATTGAAAACACGAATTATTTGTCAATTTAGATCAACATTGATGTTGTGATATCCAACATTTCAGACAGGATAAACATTTTAACAATGGTACCATAATGCGTTTCAGCGGCATTTGTATCAAGGGACTCGAAGAACGAGGCTAGACATATTCCACATGTCATGTCAAACGGTGACGGCATATTCTTATCTGGAGAGCATGCGCAATAAATACTATCGGTGTAGACTGGAATAACCAGACGCTAGAGATTGCCATTCGATTGAGACTTTCTAAACACGAATTATTTGTCAATTTAAATCAACATTGATGTTGTGATCTTAACGGGAAAAGATTGGCTTCTAATATCCAATATTTAAGACAAAATAAACAGTTTAACATTGGTACACGAATCGTGTACCATAATGCTTTTCAGTGCCATCTGTAACAACGGACTCGAAGAACGGGGCTAGACATATTCCACAAGTCATTTCAAACGGTGACCCATATTCTTATCTGGAGAGAATGCGCGATAAATACTATCGGTGTAGACTGGAAGAACCAGACGCTGGATATTGCCACTCGATCGAGACTGCTGGTGTATTTCGCCGAACATATCTGATTAGAAATAACAGTAAAAACAGAAACAATTGAATGTTAATCAGTTTACATTCCTGTTACATTACCATGTGCGTGGCGACCCATTTGTTTCAATTTCTAGGGCCCAAACATTAGCAATTTAGCTCATTTAAGAGCGTGGCGTTGTTTAGATATAAAATTGTTTACTATACGAACTTCCAAAGTGAACGAGAAGTGTTATCAGGTTTGAGAGAGGGTGAGGGGAGAAGAGAGGGGGCGGGGGGGGGGGGGTAAATGCATTACACGTCAACTGAACATAACTGTACATATAAGCGTAAATGTTCTAGTGAAAAAGTCCCCAAAATCATAAGGCCTATTTTGAACAAAAAACATACGGGATTTAAAGTCTGATTAAATGAACCGAGTATTTTTTATGCTTCACGGAGACTCGCGCACTATACACTGCAATAAAAATGATACAATGATATTACATATTTCAGATAAAGAACGGTTAGAAGAGGAGCGTATAGCAGCAAATAAATCTCTTTTAGCAAAAGCAGCGGACGCAAGGGCATCTTCAGCGAAAGCAGCAACAATTGCCTCAGAAACAGACAAAATCATAGCGGACACTGAAGCCGAAGCAGCAGAAGCCGAATTAGCGGCAAAAAGAGCACGTGAAGTAGCCCAAGATGCACTCCAAGCAGCAGAAGATGCAGCACGGGCCGCGGAGGAGAGGAAGAAAGCCGAAGATGAGGCTAAGAGACGAGCCGAAGAAAAGGCCAGAATTAAGGCCGAGGAAGAAAAGAAAAAGAGAGAAGAAGAAGATAGACGTCTAGAAGAGGAAGCCAAGAGAAAAGGAACAAGTCTTGATGTAGAAAGGTCCCTTGAAGAGGAAGAACGTGCTCGACGTGAAGCAGAGAGAAAGAACCCTAACAACTGGCCACGATACATGTAAGCAACTGTGCTATGTCTAAAATATTGGTGTTGGTACAGGCTGCTTATACCTTTTCTCTAACACCCGCTAACAGGTGTACGTGTTCTCCTTTTGTTTTTTTATATCTTTGGTCCCCACAGCGGCCCAGTGAGCAATGCACTGATCAATCACTAACCAGGAGACGGTGTCGACCCAGGAAGTTCAAAGTGATTTTTCAGCATGGTTTCCCCTTTTCAGAGGTACGTGACGGAGGATCTGGCAAGGGACAGTGTCTATTCGTTCGGATGGGAATGAACAGCAAATGCACGTAAAATAACCCTTGGCAGCTGGAATTCGATCCCGAGTAGGCGAAAACGTCGCTGTCCGGGAAAATTAAACCCTATTTTTTTTTTTTTTTTTTTTTTGTCTGAAACTACTATCCGACAACTTAGTTTAGTATATTTTGCCAACAAAATTTTACCGATAATTAATTCGATTTTTCTCTTATAGATACAGTATAGAACCTGGCGATTTTGATCCGGGATTAGGCTGTATAGTTCGGGCTATTAATGGGTCACTACATAGAGATGATTTGGAAGTTCAAAGAATTGACCAAATGTCGGGTGTTTTCCATTTATGCGAAAACGAGGAACTTATATCTAATATTATAGAAGTAAAACAGACTAATATAGAAAAAAACTTAACGGTAAATATTATTATGTGTAGTCAATCTGACCAACGGCCAAAATATTTTATTTCGTTACTTAAACCCGTTATCCACCAGTCGGTCTGTCCTTTGGTATGATTAGATTTGACACTTAATTAGGGCGTGGTTAGGACAGAGACACTTAAAACAGTTTTCGCAAATCAGTTATATAAAATAACAGTGAATGATTTGATTTCTAAATAGAAGTATCATAGTCTTTGTTTCTTTGTAATTCACTTCATATTATCAACCTACTAATAATATACATTCACATTTTGTATCTAATTTATTTTGAGTTCATTTTATAAACCCAAAACTTGTGCATACAAATTTTGTATCTACACGTAATTTAAATGAGTTCATTTTATGAACCCAATAATGTGCATACAGATTTTATATCTAGTTCATTTGAGTTCATTTTATAAAGGCGCAATATCCACACAATGTTTCCAGTTTGACGATTCGACAAAATTACTGATTATTAAATTATACATTATGAACACGTTTTAATATTACTGTCACTAGTATAAGCACTTGGAATACATTGTAAAAGAAAATATTCTTTTTAATATGTATAGTTTGAAGAACCGTTTTCCTTGGTTATACCACACTGTTCGCCAAGGGTATCACAGGGTCGTGAACCGGTAGTTAAATGGTACGATACCAGTAAAGAAGAGTGGACAGAGTTACCAACTAATGACGCCATCATTGAAGACATAAAGGTACTTTTTTTACTTACTATTAAAACCACGGGACGAATTAGACTGGGCGTTGGCCTAAATGGATATAGCTTTCTTTAAAATAAAACTATATTTTTGTGCGATCTGCATCATTTTAATTCTTCCATTGGCAGGATGTTCGGTTTGTTGAAGCACGGGGCATGGAGTTTGGTTTATTTGCTGTTGTGTACAGATTGAAGAGGGAGAATTTCACCTTCACGAAAAAAGGTGGTAAATTGTCATCTACTGTGGATACACGTTTCACCATGACAACCAAACCGGGTGCATTTAGATATAATGTTGGAATAACAACAGAGGTAAAACATTTAAATCTTTTGTTTTAAATACGTATCGCACTAAACATTTAAAGTCCCACTGACATGCTAATATCTAATCTGTGGTTAAATTAAATTGGCCTACATCGATGAAACCGGGTATAAAATTAATCTAATATTTTTTGTCTCCCCCAATAGTTCGGCCCCTGTATGCTGGGAGTCTAATAGAATGTACCATACCAATAGAATACACCCAATAGAATGTCAAACTTGTATATAAGAATATTATAGCTAAATCGGTGGATAGGTGGGGTTTAATTAAATTTTATTATTTTATAGTAATTTATACTCTCGTTTGCTTAATAGATTCAACCAGTAGATACCAATACAGTTTCGGAACTAAGACATAAAACTCCCGAAGAATGTGGTAGCTTAATGGCATCAACCCCAATTATTAAAGTCAAATGGACATCTACTCGAAAACTGCCCAAACCCGTCAGCCTCACTCTACCATGTCCACCAAATCCATCACGTGTAAAGCGACCATCAACTGCTATTACCAGAGATAAAATGATCAAGGTAGATATGAGACCACAGACTGCCCGGTCATTATCTGGATACGTCAAAAAAGAAGGTTTGTACATGTTTCTTTATTTGCATCTTTCTTGGAGATTTGTATGTCGACCAATTATATGAAGAGAGAGAGAGAGAGAGAGAGAGAGAGAGAGAGAGAGAGGGGGGGGGTAATGTCCACTCGCCACTACACTGACATTAGTTCAATTTTATTTCAATAGTCTTAAGCAGTGGGGGAACCGGGGGACTCGGAGACGGGGGGGGGGGGAGAGAGAGAGAGAGAGAGCCCACGAGGCTGGACAAACGACCCCACTCCTTGTCACAAGCGGGGAATGGAATTGGAAACCACGCCACTTGACTCACTGACAGACCTTCTGATGCAACGCATAGAGTATATCTAAGCCGATATATATATCTTCATGAAACGTTGTGCCCCTCAATTGAATAACTTTTTTGTTTAGTTTTTTGTATACGATTATTACTATGCAACCCATACACCTATTATCAGTAATTAGTTTTTCATATGCAATTATTATTTCGGATATATTTATGAAACGTGTAAAATCGAGAAATGAGCATACAAATTTTCAGGCTTTTGATACAATGGTACTGTGCCAACCGTGGTGGTAGGGTGTAATTGAACTCATTTATGTCCATTATAACCAAATAGCATATAGCTTGGGATGCTTTATACTTTTTGCTATTGAAAACCGATTAAACAGAGATTGGCTATCCCTTTGGCCGGCCCTCAAACTTGAAGTCTTCAACAAAATGCTTAGCATGTCAAAGAAATTAAGTTTTTATGTTTTACTTGCAGATGATTCTAAACATGACGAAGAACTTCACCTGGTTTGTAAAGATGAAAATGGTTTGTGGGTTAAAGTTCAGGACGTGGCACTTGTTCAGGCTAAAAATAAAGATCTTGTCTCTTTTGATATGACTCAACCCATGGACAGGTGGGTAATCGAGATGAAGTTTGTATATAAACTTACAATTACTTTTATCTGACTGGATATTTTTCACATGTATTTTTGACAACCGGTAGCTATTTTCCTAAGTATGTAAATGAAATAATAACCACCTACGTTGACTGTAAACAGAAACAACGAACACGCAGAATTTATAAATTAATTGACATAATTGAAATGGTCCAGTAGCCTATATATAATAAGGAAACCGCGTATCTGAATCCTAACTCCCTGTAATTTAATTTCAGATTCGTTGTGCTGCGTACAAAACTGGAGTTAGCTGATTATCAAGTAGAGAAAATGGCCACAAGACTAGAAAAGGTGTTGTTACAACGAAATATACAGGTTTTTCTACGTCAGCGAGGAGAAGATCTTAATGACATATTAGTTTCTTGTGCTAGTACCAATAAAGTAGAACGAGTGTTACGCCGTCTAGCGGAAGATGGCTTTGACGAGGGTCCATCCGTAAGTAAAGAAATTTCCGTCAAAGAAGGACAAGTGCTAGAAATTCGCTTCCGTGGTAACCTAGGGCCAGATACGAAAGAACTCAGAACTACGTTTCCATTTAATTCGCATATACCGTGTCGTACAGAATTTAGGGTTGAGGAACTTGATAAATTTGCTCAGCGTAGTTTCAACAGTTACCGTGGCTTCTGTCAAGTGTTTACAGAAGGTCTTGTACCAAAATTTATCCAAGATTCAGACGACAGAGAAAACAGTAAATCTAGAAACCCCCCTAAAAATCAGCCAGTAAGGATCGAAATGGTGGATGGCGAAATTTTATTGTGTGAATTATTAATGACTATACCAAAGGTAGGTATATAACCTATCATTCACTACGGGCTTATAGGTATTGTTCAAGTCCGAAGTTATGATAGCGAAAGACAAACTCGAGCGAGGCACGTGGGGTAAATAGTTAGCTAGGCCAAGGACTTTTAAGCGAGAGTTTTCTCGAACACAGAATAAAGTATCAAAAAAAAAATTTTTTTTTAAAAATAACGTGTCAGAAAAAAAATATCTATACATTAATACCCCATGGACCCGTCTTCGTTATCCCGGTCGGAGCAGAACAGTAGGACTAGGATATTAAAACCCATTTCATTTCACTTCAATACTCCATGGTCACAAGTTATATCACATACCGAATTGATTAAAGGAAATTTATGTCATTGGTTTATATTTTGAGTGAATGTTATTGATAATCTCCTTGCATACATTTGCACAACTCGTACACGCAAGTACATGCTTTGTATGTCAATACCGTGACAGGAAAGTACATTAATTAAAGATACATTATGTAAGATTTAGATAAAGAGTCGACCGTTCTTGCTAAAATAGATTTAAAAAAGATAATGCGAAATGAATATATTGAAAATTTCATTCAAATTACTTTATTCTGAACCAAGTTATCACTGTTTGTAGTTTTGATAAGATGTGTGCATTGATTGTTTATTATCGTAACCACTTTACTGGTGTATTCGAGGCTTAGCCTCGCTTCTCCATTTTTGAATTAAATCATTAAATCGCCGAACCGTTCTAATCTAGTTAAAATCTCGAGCATCCGATGACATTCAGAGTTGATTATGGTCTTGTCATGTAAATGTCTGATTAATAATGTATATAACGTTTAAGCCCGAGGCAAATTTAGCTCTTGAATATATATCTTTAATTGTAGCGCATCTTCTTTAACTATATGCATAGCGCCTCTGGAATAATTTTTTTTTTTTTATAGCCAGAGCCAGAACCCCCGAAGCCGTTGCTGAAGGCGCCTTTATCTATAATAAAAGAAGGTACATTTTTAGTTTTGATGATGTTATTATTTAGCAAATATTCGAATGATAGCTTTTATTAAGATTCAATAACCGATTTTAAAGCTTTTGTATCATCTTTTTAAGTTTATCTAAAGCATTATTTGCAGTATTGATATTTGGACATCGATGTCATCATGGTTTCTTGGCAAATATATAAAGAGTTCAATTTGATTAATAAAGAGTTTATTACAATCTATCAAAATTAAATGGATAACTTTAAACAACTTGTATGTTAAATTCTGTTCCTTCTTACAGTAAGTTATGGATCTTTCGTATCGTATTTTTAAGGACCCATCAATGAAGACGTGTTCCGTTTTATATCCAGAGAATTGGGTGACGAATGGAAGCAGCTGGCGAAATATTTAAATATTAGACGCATGAGGATACAGGCTATCTTACGCCAGAACGTTAATTCAGAAAGACAACAAACAATCTATGACATGTTGGTCTCCTGGGCTAAACGAATACCTCGGGCTGTCGACAAGGTGAGATTATCTCTTCTATAATTATTCCCTGATTAAAGCGGTTTTGTAGGTCTTCCAGGCCATCCCTTTGTCAAGTTAGAAATCGTATTTTAGTGGTTTTCATGGAGAATATTAACGACCGCCAGCGAAAATTGTTTACACGAAATCGTTCAGTGAACGATGCATATGGAGCACATGGTAAAACAACATTTAACTGTAAGATAATTTACATCCACTGAACACAAACTGTGTAATTTGGAAACTCGCATGCTGACTGGGTTCTTTAGTGAATCTATAGCAGAGCACATATGTTACGAAAACTCGACCACACAAACCCCAGGTCGGCATATAATTAGAGGTACGTGTGATCGACTTCTTGTTTTGTTAGACCCCATGTCCTGAACGTTCTCATTTGGTTTTATGTATATTGTATTGTAGGTGGAGATGTTGTGCCATGCTTTAAGTGTTTGTGGTAGAGGTGATTTAGTTGAAGTGCTTAAAGAACGAAATGCCGAGTTTAAAAAAGAAATGTCTGATAGTGCTAGAGGTAATATTTTTGTATCTATTTAAACGAATACGTTTCCAAATAAAGAATATTGTAATTATTGAAAGGTCGTTAGTTTGGTTTGGGTAGCTAAAGAATAGAGTTTGTGGTTTGTATAATAGCTCTTCATAATTTTTCAGATTCATATTTAAAAACGGCATTTGTGAAAGTGTCGAGGGATGAAAAGGTATCTACGGACTGGAAGGTGTTAGCTAAACGCCTAGGGCTGCCTGATCGCACTTTACGGGAAATAGAGGGATCTAGACCAACACGACAAGATCGATGTTTTTCCAGTCTACAGAAGTGGCGAGATATGAATGCGGATTCCGCCACCATTCCAAACCTTTCGGCAAAACTTAGAGAATGTCGATATAGAGGATTAGCTAGTAAGTAAAGAATGGTCGATAACATATCTTTGTATACAACCTTTGGAATTAACAATATTCGAATATGAGTCAATTAATATTGATGTCAGTCATTATCACATATGTGATAGAACTGGTTAAACACGTTTCAAAAATATATTTTAACACATAGATCATTGCTACGATAGATGGATTATGAAGATTTCAATAAACTGAAGTAACGACGACTGTGGGATGATATCTGACAATTCAAAACAATAATTGACTGACTGTCAAAGATAGAAAAACAGAAAAGTGTATTACCATGTTTTTTGTTTAGTATAGAATGAATAAAAACAAGGGAATGTACGGACTATTTCTATTTTTCTCGTTTTCCCTTGTCTAGTGACATTCAATTACTTTTTTGAATTATCAGATATCATCTTACAGCCTCGCATAACAACTTTTGGTCTTCGAATGAATTATTAGTGAGCAGAAATTCGCCCGTATATCTGTTATCACTCGTCACCTCAGTCAGTAATATAGAAGGGTAACTCGTGTTTTCCTTTTGCGTTCGTCACTTCCCTTACTTGAAATCTTTATAACGCATCTAACTTAGCGATGATGTCTGTGTTGAAATTATATTTGGAACGTGTTTAAACAGTTCTATCACATATGTGATAAAGGCTGACACCAGTATTGTCTTTTAACAACATTGATGTGTGGTCTTTTCCCAAAGTTATTATCGCCTAACAAGTATCCCGGGTTCGTAGTATAAGTAGTCACATATATCTTACATACCCTCTCTATCTATAACACGCTATTTGAATTAGTTGAGATGTGGAAACTAACAATTCTAGTTGTACTTTTGAATCCACAATTCCGCGCGTGTTTTTTATCTTCTAGATTCGCCGATATGTCAACTAATAGGTTCCATTTTCTTTCTATGTTTTTTTTTCTACTATAACTGAATTGTAATTCCTTCCCACATGCCTTTTTTCAGGAGAAATAGACGCCATTGGTTGAAGTACCTGGTTGATCCCCGGAGGATGATCTCGTCTATATAGACATTGAAAAAATCTGTGATAAGTTGATAATGCTTGACGATAACGCTTAATATATAAACATCATTATATAATTGTGCTATGTTCCGTCCTAAAATTGTTCAATAATAATTTTATTTTAGATATAGCATTTATAAACAGACCAGCATTTTAATTTAAATTGTTTATTTACTTGTTGAATGTAAAATTTGATACTTACATTCAAGTAATTTGTTCTTCGATTATTTTTTATTGTATGTTTTGTATTTTTATCGAAACGATGCTGTGATATACGAAATCACGCGGTGATTCTACGATGCCAAGTAATTATATATATATTACCATGTAGTGTAGCTATTTATTATTTTTATTGAATTATTTATAATAGTATGTCAATAAATAAATAAATATTTTACGTATATACCATTCAGTGCCAGTTCAATGTTGTGGCAGGGGGTGAATTATAATTATACCATAAAACAGAGAAATAGAATATTCGCCGTACAATCATCGAAATTATTACCTTTATGATACATTCTATCACTATATTATACATTTTTTTTAATTTTGGTCTTTCTCCTGAGTTTCGGGGTAGTTTGAAAATTAATTAACGACCAAATTCTTTCGATCTACAATAGTAAAATTGTATACAGATCAGTAAGAGAGAGAGAGAGAGAAATGGGATTTAACGTTCATTCGACACAAACTAGGTCATTTCGGGACTAACATATGGTTTAATTTTATTTCAATAATTCGCTTGCGCGTAGTGGTCTTTAGCAGTGGGAGGAAACCCGAGGACCCGGAGAAAACCCACGAGGTTGGAAAGGCGACCCTACTCCTTGTCACGTACAACCGGGGATTCGAAACCACGCCAGTTGACTCAATGACAGGTCTTATGATACAGCGCGCACGTGCTAACCATTCGGCCATCCACCCCCCCCCTCCCCCTGTCGGCAAGTAAAGGAACATATTTATTTCTAAATCATTTCAATTTTTATCAACTTAAACTATTTTTTTCTGTCAATAATCATTAGTGTGATGGACGCAAGCTAGTCGGCCAGATGTGAAATAAACCCGAGGTCCCATGTACACGTTGGTGTACACGTAAAATAACCCTCGAAAGTAATGAGCACATATTAATATGCATGGCTTATGCCTGTCTTCATTAGCCCTTTTTTTTATATAAACAATATTTTATTCTCAGAAAAAGGATTGAGGAACAGGCTAAGCCTATATTACCTCTCTCCTATATAACAGAAAATATATTACCAAATTATGGTAAAACCAATCTGAAGAATATAACAATAAAATGAACAAAAAAGGCTATCTACATGTCTACAATTCCAGGCTTGCCATATTCATATTTTTTAACTACTGGATCTAAGGTTTAATTGAACCTTCCGGAGATGTCTAGAAACCTATGGACTTATTGAAAGATCACAATTGAAATAATAATATCGTCAGTGCTTTTTAATAATGTTTGTATTGAAATTAGGTTTTGTGGTAAGATAAAAATTGAATGTTTACGTGCATCGGAATGTAGACGTCAGAATAAAGTAATTGGCATCTTCAAAATCATCATCGCAAGCGCATACAGGGTTGTCTGAGATGTGCCTTAAGAACTTATGACCATGTAAGTCACTCCAGGAAAGACGAAGTCGACAATGTAAAATCAGATTTTTATTCCCCGGAACTAAAGTATGATGGCGCTTGTTTGTCAACTTGTTTCAATTTACTTTTAAAGAGACTAATAGAGGTAGATGATTTTATAAGATCAGAAAGTAGACTCAATTCCTTAATGGTAGATGGTATAAATGATTTCGAAAATAAAGATGTCCTGCGGAAGTATTCTGATAAATTAGTCCGTTTGGTGCATTCATTTATTCAGATGACCACAAGAGACAATGTGTAATGTAAGACCTGAATACACTAAGGATTAATTGTCGCCGACCATAAGGTTTCTTGTTGGGCAAATCGCTGCCAGGGATTTTTCGAGATATGTTCACCCATACAATGATTGGTACTTTGAAATCTAAACCTCCAATGTCCACCAATAAGACGTAAATTCAGAAAATGAGCAATTTGTTGAAAATTTGACAACAAATAATTCTTGGTGTACGCATATCTTAACATCGTTCAAATCTAACTGAATTTTGTCGAAGAATTACAGCCAAGGGATGGATATATATTTCACGCTTTCTTAACACAAATTACACCACTGAATAACAATAACATTTCTAAAATGCCATAAAACTTTATACAGAAGGGAGCCGTTATACAGCGTATGTTAATCGCGGTTAATCGATAGATCTAGCTCGCACTCTCTATCATCATTATCCAATGAAATTGACGGTTTTATCACCAACTGTCGGCTTGTAAACTTTAAATTTATATTATGCTGAAATACGATGTCCGACGTCCGACACTTGCCTGATCATGTCTAATTTTTACCTTTTACCATTTTCATTAATTCTGTCATCCGTCCATGTTGTCGAAATTCCAGATTAACAACGTCATTATAACGTTTTAAAACTGTTGTTACGTCATTTATTTTCAATTCCATACCAGTCATACGACTGTAACCCCAGTCGGAATTTAATGTTATCACCCAGCGGCATGTGTTTTCTGTCTTGTCCGGACGGGTTAACTTTATCCTTGGTTGAAATTCTAGGGAAAGCATCGTGATTTCTGGAAATGGTTTCAATATTTCGTCGATGGCGTGTTTCACTTCCAAGTGAGTAAGAGAGGACCCCGGATAATTAAAGCAGACAGCCCTAGGTTTTAACTGTGGTGATTTCTTCTTCTTGGGCATGGTGGAACCTTGAAGTAGTTGTTTCACAATAGCATCTGTTTCAGAGTCACCCGGTGACTTAACATTCAAGCTGCTTCTGAAATTTGAAAGAAATGATTCAATGACACATTTCCAGAGACACGGGTTTAAACATTAGCATTTTCTACTTAGGCTAACTTTGTTCTAATTGGCAGCCACAGAAGAACTCGCATTACCGGAAACTGCAGAAGTTTAACATGTGAAACGCACTAAAACACTGTAAAAGTACATGAGATTAGTTGCGAACGTTCAAAAACTTGTTTTAGATGATCTCTTGTCGACAGGGTTCGGCATGTTCAACTTTTATAACTTTGAAAAACTAAAGACGGGGGATAGCGGGAGGTCTTTACCATTTACAGCGCTTATCGCCGCATCCCCTATAGGTCATCAAAATACAGTCGATCATAAACGCTCATATTTTTTTCATTTGACATATTATTAGGAACGGCGAATGCAGAAAAATAAGGAAACTGCGACTTGATAATCGGGACTCCTACTGGCCGGGGGAGGTGGGGTGGAGGGCGACACCGCCTATACCTCGTAAACTTTCAGCTGGGGCGCCAAAATTCTATTGTGTTTATCTGCTAGCAGAGTCTACGAGAAAATGGTTGCAGTTTTGATCGGCCTTTTAGAAGTTTCACAAGGATCCAAATATTTATCATTGTTGTGAATAAAATTCAGGCACTCTTGGGGAAAATACACAATTTCAACAGTAAGATGGGTTCAAAATCGCAAAAATTTAGGCTTACCGACTATAGAATGTTAAATGTTAGGTTCTTTGTGAAGATTTGGAAGGACCTCAAAAGGTGTACTAAATGAGTTAGGAACGGGAAATATAATTAAGGCAATTTTCAGAACAAAATGTGCCAAAAGCTGAAAAATTTTCCCGGGAAGCCACTTGGGCTCTCTGATCGAGTATTGCCCGCGTTGCACATTGCATGGCGTATGTCCGTCTTAATTAAGCCGGTTGGTGCAGAAAAGTTATTACTTTAAAGCGTTTTATTTCGCACCCTAAAGAATGTTCCTACTGGTATATTTGAATAGAACTCTAAAAGCAAAATGGGTTCAAAATATCAATATTTTCCGTTGATTTACAACACTTCCTGGACCCTAAATACTAACTTCCACCGTTTTAAGATGCCACCCATTTGAGCTTTTTAGATATATGCGCGTTTGTTTTCAATGATGTAACGAATCGTGTTGTGTTCAGCTGGATTACGTCAACATACGTACGTCTTAAGGTTGGTAAAAGTTCTGCGTAGATTCTACGAAACAGCTGCAGGTCAGATAAAAGAATAGTTCAATATTATTATATATATCGATTGGCTTTTATTGACCAGCTTATGGATTATATCGTTGTTTAAATTTTATTTGAATATTTAGTAGTCATTTCGTTTTACGTGCTTATGAATAGTTTTAGGAAATGAACGAGGACATTAACCCCAAAAATCGACAATTTCTCGAATATTTTCATACGCACTACACCTTAAGTCAAGCTGTGTACGGGCCCGTAGCTAGCAGCGGAGGTGGGCAAGGGGGTAGGTGCCCCCTCCCCGTAAAAAATCGGTGCTCCCAATGGGCGCCGAAGGCGCCTTTTCCAAGGACCAACGTGGCCATATCACGCCCCTTAAAGATGAGTGACATTGGTTGGACCCCCACGACGAGATTGGCGGGGCACCCAACCGATGTAACTTGGTTTTATGGGCGCCTCGCCAATCATGTCGTTATATATGAGCCCCCAACCCCACCCCACCTCTAAACCACCACAAAATTGCGAGGTGCCTCATAATGAATCACACATTTAACACCACAAACGGCGTGATCTGTGGGGTGCCTTATCCCGGAAATTCAAACAAGTCACAAAAACTTAAGCTAAAATCACTAAAATATATAGATTTTAAAGTAGCTAAGTCTCTAACTCAATATCATCCTAAATCTTCGACATTGAAAACACGATTTGTTTGTCGGGTTAAATCAACATTGATGTTGTGATCTTACCGGGAAAAAATGGCCTTCTGATATCCAATATTTAAGACAAAATAAACATTTTACAATTGGTACACAAGTCATGTCAAACGGTGACGCTATATTCTTATCTGGAGAGCAAGCCTAATAAATAATATCGGCGTAGACTGGAATAACCAGACGCTAGAGATTGAAATTCGATTGAGAATACTGGCGTATTTCGCCGAACCTAACTGATTAAAAATTACAGTAAAAACAGAAACGATTGAATGTCAATCAATTTATATACATTCATATTACATTATTGTATGCGTTGAGACCCATTTGTGTCAATTTTTAGGTCCCAAGTATTAGCGATTAAGCTCCTTTAACTAAAATCAAAATGAAATTTTTAATTTTATGCGTTTCACGCATTATGCAGATTGATTGTAACTTAAAATGCAATTTTAATAGATTTTAGTCAAAATTGCTTGCGTCCACGGAGTGCACATTTCCGTTGCGGGCACGTAGAGTGTAAGCAAATACGCTTCGAACCTGAAAACTGTTGACAGATTGAACTAACGGTTAAAATATCAATGGGGTGGGTTTCATACGTTGTACCA